GTGCCCCGATGTCGACCTTGGAGCTGCCGTGCCAGCGGGCACGGTGCCGGCGTGGCCCTGCCTGCGGAACTGGGCAGCTGGGCAGGGAGGTTTCGGGGGCTGAACTGACCCTGAGCTCACGGGCATCCATTTTCCAGGGACCCTGGTTCTACCGGTGGCATGGGCTGGGGGAACTGGGCTTGGCCGTGGACTCCCAAGCGGTCATCAACCTCCCGCTGTCAGCTGCCCTCTCTGCCAGCTGTTGGAGGGCTTTCGCTGTCTGTCTGTCCGTCCATCCTGGCAGTGATGCCGAGTAACCCTGTGCATCTCCCCACTCCAGGGCACAGAGATGGAGGAGAAGGACTACAGCGAGACGGACGGGCTCTCTGACAAAACAACTCCCAGCAAGACCCAGAAGTCCCCCCAGAAAACCACCAAGAAAGTGAAGAGCACGCTCTGCAGAGTCACCCTGCTCGATGGCTCCGAGTACGAGTGCGAGGTGGAGGTGAGTCCCAGCTTCAGGGGGCTGCGCTGGCACCAGGGAGGGGACACGTCTGAGCCCAGGGACCCTGCCCAGCCCAGTGAGTCTCTGATGTCGGGGCTCTTCTGAGGACACCTTTGTAGTACTTCTCTCCTAGGGAAAAAGATCCATGGAAATCATAGAATCATAGAATCATAGAATGGTTAGGGCTGGAAGAAATAGCCGTTTAAGTTGAAATTTCAAAATAAGGAAAAAATCTGGAAAGCCAGACCCTAGCAGGGAATTTCAGCCCAGTGAATCCAAATTTGGCAGCTACTCACAATAGAAAAGTGTCTAAAAAGCAGAATCTTAAGAGATGGGGGATGGAGCTCTGCCTGGCAGCCGCATGCCAGCCTGTCTGCCCACGCCTCGTGGGCACAGCGTGTTGGCTGTCCCGTGTGCCGAGGCGAAGGACGGGTGTGCGGACGCGCTGATGCAAAGCGACCGACAGGCGTGGACCTGCACGGCTGCCCCAGGTTTGCATCCATCCACTCTGTGTCTCCCTGCCCCTCGCCGTCAAGCCAGCACGCCTGGCACCATGTGGGGAGCTGTGTTGGAGCCTGGCAGCGGCGTGCGTGCGTGTGTGCAAACGTACGTAAGGGTGATACACATGCATATCCTTGTACTGCGTCCTGGCATGTGCAGGCAGCGCCGTGCGCCTGGGTGGGTGGTCCACCACCCTGCTCTGGGTGTGCAGGCCACCCAATATTTGTGCAGCGTTGGAAGCGCATGGCATGGGCTTGCCGGGTTGTGCGCCGGGGAGTGCGTTTCCCTGGTGGGGGGGGGGAAGGGGCCGGCCACCTCCCAGCGCCTGCCGTGGCATGGGGAGATGCTGCAGGGCTGCTGCAGCCGCTGTCAGCACCGGGACCTCTCCTTAGACAGGTTGGAGGACACCCAGGAGTAAATCAGGAGGTGAGGCTGGTTTTTGATGAAGGGTCCTGTGGCCTTGCCACGAGGGCGAAGGCAGCTGGCAGGAGAAGCGCTTGCTGGGAGCGCCCGGTTCTGTGCCCAGCACTCGCTGCTGTGTCCGGCCAGCGGGTGGGGAAGGCAGCGCTGCCCTGACCTGCGGCATCGTCCCGGTGGCAGGGCCGCTGTTAAGGACTGGCAGTTTCTCTTAAAAATGCGAAAACTGAGATCGTTCAGGAGCAGAAATCCCAGAGGCTTTGCCAGGGAGACCTTTGCGCTGGCTGCTGGCAAGCAGGCAGCGGGTTTTTGTTGGTGGCAGCTCGGCGGTGGGC